ACGAGAAGGCCTCTGGGTCACCACATGCCAACAAAGCCACCAGCAGTGACACCTCCCCCACCATCCGGGGCCATCAATTTGGATGTTTAAAATTTAGATTAACTCACAGAAAGAACAACAGACTGGCAGGAAAAACTAAGATACCTTTTTTATTGTGGTAGAATTCTAAAAATTGGCTTGATATCTCAGCACTTTTTTTTAAAAAAAATCAATGCTTAAATTTTAATTCTATCAAATGATTCTCAGACCAGGTCTACTGTGCCACTGTCAAAAAATGAGTCAGGTCTGCTTCATTGTTTTGTGTGGCCAGCACGGTCACCAAGCTTCCGAATATTTGGCTCCAGCCCCGGTCCCACAAGCAAGGTCTCCAGCCACACTCTGGGTAAGGAAGACCCCACAGAAGCCCCGCAATAAAGGGAAAATTGCCAAACAGGCTGTCAAGGCTCCACTCCTTCCCACAGAAGTTGAGTGAACTCCAGTCAAAGAAAACCTACCAATCCTAGTCGAGGAAAACAGCGGGGAGGATGACCCGATGGTAAGTGAAGTCATCTACCCCTTTACCATCAAAACCTGAATAGTAGTGCCAGAGACAGGGGCCCAAGGGGAAGTAGAAGCCATCATAGACACCAGCTGCACCAGATGTCTAATGAGCCTCCCCATAGTTGAGCAGCTAGGCATATGTACGAGGCCCTAGCATGACCCCTCTGCTTTGAGCAGGTTGATGGGACACTAATTGGCGGAGCCCCTGCCACATTAGTCACAGAACTGGTCAGACTAGAAATGGGGTGTCACCAAGAACTCATTCGATTTGTCATAGCCCCAAAAATGACTGAGTCGATCATACTGGGGCTTGCTTGGCTAGACAAATGGGGACCAACCATCATTTGGGAGGATAGCTATAGAAAGTTAAATATAGGCATCGGACCACTGCCTCCCATAAAGCCCGACCCAGGCCAAGTCTCTGTAAGCCATGCCAGTACTAGCGAGCCGCAGGCGACAGCCCCTACAATCAATGGACCGCCGGGCTGCTCGCAAGTGCCAAGGGAATATCAAGACCTATCGGGCATCTTTAGCAAAGAGGATTGCAACTTCCTCCCCCACCCCACGCATCGCCCAACCAATTGTGCAATCAAATTCATGCCAGGAGCCAAGCTGCCCAAGTCAAAGATGTACTCCATGACTCCTACAGAAATGGAAGAGCTAAGAAAGTACATTGATGCAAACTTAGTGCAAGGCATTATCCAACCTGCAAAGTTCAGGGTGGCTGCCCCAGTACTGTTTAAAGAAAAAAAAGATGGGGGGATGAGTCTTTGCGTGGATTTTCATGAAATGAATGTTGTGTGCATGGAAAACACCTACCCCTTCCACTCTTGAAGGACATGCTAAGCCATCTAGCCAAGGGAAAAGTGTTCACCAAACTGGACTTATTACTGTAACAGAATCAAAGAGGGAGATGAATGGAAAACAGCCTTTAACTGTCCGCTTGGCAGCTTCAAATTCAAAGTCATGCCGTTTGGTCTGCAAGGGACCCTAGCAGTCTTCATGCAATTAATCAACGAAGTGCTACATGAACACTTATACAAAGGGGTCCTAGTTTACCTAAATGACATTCACATATCCAGCAAGACCCTCGAAGAACATGTAAAGCTAGTGCAGCAGTGCTGAAAAAACTCCTGGCCGCTAAGCTCTATGTAAAGCTGTCCAAATGTGAATTCCATCTCCATTGACTACCTAGGCTACCACACATCGAGAGGAGGGGTGGAAATGGAACCAGGAAAAGTAAAAGTGGTGCTTGACTGGCAACCCCCATGCACCCGCAAATAGTTGCAAAGCTTCCTGGGATTCACAAACTTTTGTAGACAGTTTATACCACCATTCACAGAGGTCGCCTTGCCCCTGACAGAAATGTTAAAAATGGGGCAAACCGGGGTGAAATGCTCCCGGTTCGGACCGGATTGCTCGATCTGGTAGCGATGGCATTGGGTCCTTCGGAGAACCAGTAGCAAAAATCCCCGACCCACCCACCCCCTGCCCAGCTGAGCCGTGCAATCATCAGAGGCTTTTTTTAATTTTAAAAATAAAAAATTGTAAAAGCATTTTTTCTACAACTTCTTCAGCCAAAGAAGTTGTAGAAAAAATTCTTTTAAAAGCCTCTGATGATCCCAGCAGAGTTGCCTGATTGTCAGAGGCTTTTTAAAGCATTTTTAACAACCTCTTCAGCGAAAGAGGTTGTAGAAAAAAATGCTTTTAAAAGGCTCTGACAATCCCAGCTGAGTTGCCTGATCGGCAGAGGCTTTTAAAAGCATTTTTTTACAACCACTTCGGCTGAAGAGGTTGTGGAAAAAATGGTTTTAAAAGTTTTTTTTAAAAAAGTTGATCACGCCCACCCAGTCACATTCCCCCCCCCCACCAAGCCACGCCCACAGAACTGGTAGTAACAAATTTTACATTTCACCACTGGGGCAAACCCCTGCGAAGCCACGACCAAACAAACTGCTTGCTTGGTCAATGGACTATCAAAAAATCTTCAAGAAATTAAAAAAGCTCTTCACTGAAGAACCAATCCTCCAGCATCCAGAGCCAGAATGGCATTTCATAATCCAAGCAGATGCTAGCGACGTGGCTGTGGCAGTAGTGCTCCTACAAAAAGACCCACAAGGACAGCTCCTACCCTAATAATAACAGTAACAGAGTTGGAAGGCACCTTGGAGGTCATCTAGTCCAACCCCCTGCTCACACAGGAGACCTATATTAGGGATTCGAACCGCTGAACTGCTGACCTTTCTGACTGACAAGTTCAGTGTCTTAGGGCTTAGCCACTGAGCTACCTCGAAGCTCTAAAGACCCCTAGGAAATTATCTCACAAACAAGTCCGCTGGGCACAGTACTTCAGGTGGTTCAAATTCGAACTGAAGTACATCCCAGCAGGAAAAAAAATTTATTAGCCAATACCCTATTGACAAAACCCCAATTCGATAGCCACAGGGAAGTAATCATCCACACCATCATTCCCCCCTCACAATCAGCTGCATAAGTCACCACCAGGGGCAAAGCCAAAAGACAACCCAGCCCCATCCGGGACAAGCTGATGGTGGCACTGAAGGCAGTGGTTTATAGATAATATGGACATCTTGACCATAAGGGATGAACTGGCTTGGAAGGGTCCAAAATTATCGGTCCCCACCAGTTTGAGGCTGGAAGTATTACAACGGAGCCACGAATCCAGCTTGGCTGGCCATTTCGGATTCTTAAAAACCCTACATTTGGCCAGGAGGCAATTTTGGTGGCCAACAATGAAATTTGATGTAGAGGACTACATAAAAAGCTGTGCCACTTGTGCAGCCATGAAAATGAGGCCAGGGAGACCTCCTGGGCTCATCCAGCAAGTGGAAAGACCCAGCAGACCTTGGGAAGAATTTGCGATGGATTTTGTAGTTGAGCTTCCAAAAAGTGGGGGAAATACGGTCATTTGGACAGTAATTGATTTGTTTTCAAAACAAGCCCACTTCACAGTTTGTTCGGGATTACCATCCACTAAAAAACTGGTGAAGATGTTCATTAAACAAATCTACCGACTACATGGAATACAGCACTGAGTCATCTCAGATCGAGGGGTCCAATTTACAGCAAAGTTTTGGAGAGAGTTCCACGCAAGGAAGTTTGGCTTTCCATCTGAGTACGAATGGAGTGGTGGAATGAATGAACACAATGGTGGAACAATATATCAGATGCTATGTGGATTACCAAGCAATAGAACTGGGCGGACTTACTGCCTTTTGCAGAGGTGAATTACAACAACACTGTGCACAGTAGCATTGGATTGACCCCCTTCCAGGTCACCAGCGGAATGGATTTTGTGTCCATCCCTGAATTGCCCAGGGAGTCTCCCTCCTCTATGACCCTGAACGAGTGGATAGAGTCGTTGAGAAAAGGCTGGGAGAATACCAAGAAGGCAAAAGCAGAAATTGCTGAGGCATACAAAAGACAAGCAGATAAACACCAATCTCTTCAACCCCCTTTCCATGTGGGAGATCGGGTTTATCTATCGACCAAATACATAAGACTTAGGCTGCCTAACAAGAAGTTAAGACCTAAATTCTTAGGTCCATTCCCAATAGTGAAAGTAATTAACCCAGTGACGGTTCAGCTTAACCTCCCACGCATTCTAGGGAAAATACATCCAGTTTTCCACTGTAGCTTGCTGAAGTCAGCTATAAGTTCTAGGTTAAGACCACAAGCTCATGCACCCCCAAGCCTATTGTAGTGCAAGGGAAAACCCACTATGAAGTAAAAAGGATCTTAGACTCTAGATTGTATAGATTACAATACTTAGTACATTGGAAAGGGTACCCTTTGTCTGAGGCTACATGGGTTAAAAGTTGGAATGTCAAAGCAGGCAGCCTAGTAAAGCAATTCCATGATAAGCCAAAGGGTCCCCCTGAAGGAGGGAGAAGTGGTTAGTATACTGAATGATTAACCACTTTGCTACTCTCATTTCAGGATATGCTTTTCCGACCAGGGGTGGCAGCCTGTTAACCATCTTTTGTATTGGGGCTTCAGACCTGCCACATTTACTACTGTGGGTAACTGGGATTGTAAGGAGCATGGGTGATATATAGTCATAATAGCATTCCTTTCTCAAGAAGTCAAGGACAACTTGCCTTGCACCTGGAAGGCTGGAACTGGGAGACATCCCCAGTTGGGAAGATGTTTGATTGGACCATGTGATGGACTTGTGGGTATTGGGTAGGGACTTGAACTTTTCTTTGGGTGGGAAAAACCTGGAAACTTTCAGATTCAGCTTTTCCTAGATGTGCCAATATGACATCTCTAATAAAATGTAACTTTGAGGAAACCCAAGCCTGAGTGTTTTCTTTCATTGTGGGTGTTATTTGCAACCCTGACACACCTAAGTTAAAGCCACACTAAATGTTCATCCAATCTCTCCAAATATCTTTTAGCATGCTATTAGGGGTCATTTTGCTAGCAATGGATATTACCGTGGATGTCTCCTCTGTACAAATTTCCTTCTGTACAGGTGCCGCTGAACATTCAGGGATGGATTTCACCCCCTTCCTTTTGGCTTTTTCTATCTGAATGTTCGTAAAATAGTTGACAGCCGCAAATTCAATCAGCGCAGAGAATACAAAGGCAAAGCATACAGCTATGAACCAATCCATGGCTGTGGCATAGGAGACCTTAGGTAAGGAATGCCTGGCGCTGATGCTCAAAGTTGTCATGGTCAACACAGTGGTTATTCCTTGGAAAGAAAAGAAATATAATAAATGTAATTGGTGTCTTTATGAAATAAAGAAAAAATACCAAAAGCATAATTTACCCTCAATTATGAGGGAAAACTGAATACAAAGTGTGTTAGTTCATGTTGTGAACCAACATGAACTATGAAGTTGTGGGTGCTCCATCACTAAAGATTTTAAAGAAGAGATTGAACAGCCATTGTCCAGAATGGTATACAGTCTCCTGCTTGTGCAGAGTTCTAGGGTTGGGCTAGAAGACCTCCAAGTTCCCTTCCAATTCTGTTATTATGTTATTCTGAATGTTATCTTCTGTGAAGAGGGTCTTTGAACAGAGAAAGTGGCAATACAAACTTGATTTTGGCTGATCTTGGAAAAGTTAAGCAGGGTGAGTTACTTGGCTGGGAAACACCCTGTTGTGAGCTGTTGGCCGCCAACCCCTTTGGCAGCCAAATCAGATGAAGCGGCGATGTGGGAATCAGGGCCAAAATCAAGGCAATCTGAAAACTCCAAGTGGGAAGAGGGAATGGAGTTGTCAGAGATAGAGACAGAGGCGGAGCCTGGGCCGTCCATCAGCCCTCAGATGGAGAGTCAACATCTCCCAGGTCTGGAGGTGGCTGATGAGCAGTGGATGTGCAGAAGAGGAGAGCAGTGGAAATCTATGGGCTGGTCCTTGGGATGGAAGAACCACCACTGCTAGTGAAGCCCCATCCTAGCTCTGGAGATAAAAGGCAGAGGACGGAGATGAATAGGTGTGGAAGACAACTATTCATCTCCCTGCTGGTCAGCCACTGGTAGCCTGCACTTCCAAATCCTGTCTGGAAATTATCAGAATTCTTCTTGGAATCTGCAGTGCCTTCTGAGCGTGTGTGTGTCTGCTGCTGGAAGAAAGTGAGCACACCTTCCAGGACTTCCTTTGCAAGTGAGGGAAGAGAGAAAGAGAGACTCCTGGTGTGTTGGGCCAGTTCAGGGGGAAAGGGAGTGAGTGTCACTTTCCACAGGACTTAGAGACTTCTAGCCTGCTGTGAGAGAGCGGCTGCTGGCGCTCCTAATAAAGGGAACGTTTTGTTAACTACAAAGGGCTTGTCATGTTTGGGAGCCAGGTCAGAACACCCCCATGGTTTCTCAGGATTATAGGATATACTGAGATGTTTAAAAAATCCTTATAGAAGGCAATGCCAACCACTTCTGCACTGCTGGAAAGAAAACACATGGATTTGTTCATGTAGTCATCAAGAAATGAACCCAACTTGGAGACTTCACTTACTTTTTTTTATTAAAGAAACAAACCTATATCTAAAGGTTTTATTTAAAAAGCATCAAGACCAATTAATTCCCCATTTAATTGGTGTAAGACAATGAAACAGTGGTGTTTCAGAGTATACAGTAATGCTTTTACAGTTCCTGGGGGAAAATACCAGTGATTTTAATATACTCTATAGTACACCTTCTTTGAGTTCTATGATTTTACATATCAGAATATAGTAAAAATCATCTGCTCCTTAGCAATTCTTAAAAGTAGGTAAATACAACCTCAGATGAATAACAACACATGACATATTGCACCATGTCATCATTTATTTTACAAAAAGATAGCCAAAATGGAGAAGTCATGTGTGAAAAACCAAGCACACCTTATGATTCAATAGATTGTAGAATTAACTTCAGCGGCAATAACTTTAGTGTTTTCCATGTGAAATTATCATTCTCTCATACAGTATTGTTGTGAAGGAATTTTTGCCCATCCTTCTTTACAACATTCCTTTTATTCATTGAGGCCTGTGAACATCTGTTTATGCATGTTTCTCTTGAGGTCCTATCACAGCATTTCAATTGGGTTTAGGTCTGGACTTTCACTGGGCCATTGCAACACCTTAATTCTTTTGTTCTTCAGCCAATCTGTTGTAGGTTTGTTGGTGTGTTCGGGATCACTGTCCTGTTGTATGTCACAATGTCGGGCAAGCTTTAGCTGTCACATAGATGTCCTCATATTTGACTCAAGAATACTTTGGTATACAGAGAAGTTCATGGTCCTGTGGCTGCAAAATAAGCCCAAATCTTCAACCCTCCACCATTGTGTTTGACGGTTGGTACGAGAGGTTTGTGCCAATATGCTCTGCTTGGGTTTTACCAAACATGCCTCCGTGCATTATGACTAAACATCCCCACTTTGTTCTCGTCAGTCCAAAGGAAAGTGTTCCAGAAGTCTTGTGATTTGTTCAGATGCAACTTTGCAAATGTAAACTGGGTTGCCATTATCTTTTTAGAGAAAAGAGGTTTTCTCCTGGCAACCCTTCCAAACAAACCATACTTGTTCAGTCTCTTTTTCTAATTGTACTGTCATTAACTTTAACATTTAACATGCTAAAACTGAGGTCTGTAGAGTCTGAGATGTAACTTTTGGGTTTTTTGCAATTTCTCTGAGTATTGCATGGTCTGATCTTAGGGTGAATTTGCTGTGATGCCCATTCTTGGGAAGATTGGCAACTGACTTGAATATTTTCCACTTATGAATAATCTTCCTCACTGTAGAATTATGGATTTTAAATTGTTTTGAGATAGCTGTATAACCGTTCTCAAATTGATGGGCAGCAATAATTGATTCTCTAAGATCAATGCTGATCTTTCCTCTTTGGCATAATGTTAGGGTCTAGGACAACTTAGTGCAGCCATCTCAGCGCAGCCAGATGTGTGGCCAACTAGCCATTGCCAAGTCGCCTCTGCCAACTCACTGCCAAGTCATGACAGGACAACTCAACATGGCCAATTTGCCACAGAGACAACTCACTGCAAGCAGCTGGAGAGAGAGCTGGGCAGGTGAGCAAGTGAGTGGGCAGAGCACAGAGCAGTGGCAGTAGTTGGGGGCTTTCCATTTTCACACGCCCCACAGCCACTGTCAGTGTGGGCCATTTGGGCCACTCAAAGGTGGTTGTTGTGGGTGGGGCGGGAAGTAGGGAGGTGGCAAAGGCTGGTGCATCCTATTTCACACCCTTTGCCGCCGCCATGCTGAGTTTACTTGCTCAAGTTCAGCGCTGCAGTGGTGAGTTGTTTGAAAATGGGACACAACGCTCTCTGCTGCCTCCCCGCCACCACCTCTACCCACCGCCATCATCCCCAAGCGGCCTGAACACCATTGCAGCTGCCAAATGGCAGCAGTGGCAGGAGGGGGCTGTGAAAATGAGAAGCTCCTGGCTGTCACTGCCATCACTCTGTACTTTGCCCACATAATCACCCACCCACCGGCTCTCCCTCCAGCTGCCTAGGGTGAGTTGACCACATACTAAATTGGATGTGTTGAGTTGTCCTGTGATGACCTGGGGGTGATGAGTTGGCAGAAGTGACTTCGTGGTAATAAGCTGGCCATACCAAGATGGCTGAGTCAAGATGGCCACACCTAGTAGTCCCGTTCTGTTTGCATTAACACACAACTCAGTGCTGGAAACCAGCAAACTTCTAAAACTTCAGCTTTTATAAAGGTAGTCATACTTGCTGATGATTAATTGATCAAGGGCACTTGATTAGCAGCAGCTGGCTGCTACTTAGCTTCATCATACCTTGGAAGCAGTAAAGGTGTACTTAAGTTTTTCACACACGACTTTTGGCTTTCTTTTTGTAAAATAAATGATGACATGGTGTAATATAGGTTAACAGATAAAAGAATAACAGAGTTGGAAGGGACCTTGGAGGTCTTGACCCCACTACTCAAGCAGGAGACACTATACCATTCCAGACAAGTGGCTATCCAATCTTTTCTTTTTTTAAAAAAAATTTTAAAAGTTTTTTATTAATAATACCAAATTAAAAAAACATTGGACATAGATATGACATCGCTGATTCCATACATCTTCCATCACTTTACAATAATATTAGTTCTCATATAAACATATAGTTCTTAAGCTTTGTTCACTATTTAAGCATAATATGATATGATATTAATACTTTTTCCCTTATTTCTGTATATTTATTTATCTCTTAAACATACATTTATCTATAATAACATCTATATTTTTGTTCTAACACTATACATTTGTCTTGGCTACCCTCTTGTTATCTATCCAATCATAAAGTTGTTCCCAGATTTTGTAATACTTAGTTTAGCTTTTATCCTTGAGTTCTAAAATGAGTATGTCCATTTCTGCACAGTTAAAGATTTTCAGTAATATTTCCTCTTCATTTGGAATATCTTTCTTTTTCCATTTTTGAGCGAAGGCTATTTGTGCCGCTGTGACTATATGCAATAATAAATAATTTGTATCTTTATAATTCCCAATAAGAAAAATTCCAGTTTGACCTCTATATCTGTTAGCAAAATTTCTTCCAGCCAGTTCTTTAGTAAATTCCAAAATTTCTGCACCTTTGGGCATTCCTACCACATGTGGGAGGATATCGAGGATTTCCCCTTATTCATTTGTGCTAATCTTGTGGGGGGGGAGGTGCCACCTATAGAACATCTTATAGAGGTTTTCCTTGTAGGAAGTTGCTAGTGTGATTTTTAAATTTTTTTCCCATAAATTTTGCCAATTGTCCAAATTGATATTGTGCCCAAAATATTTACACCAAATTATCATCGGGTTTTTTTTACCTGTTCCTCAATCATATCTTGTTCTAATAAATATCGATATAGTTTACTTATGGTCTTGCCTTCCCTGCTAAATAAAATTTTATCTAATTCTGATTATTCTTGCTTTAAGCCTCATTCCTTTTTATCTTTGCTAAATTTAGATTGAATTTGGAGATATGCCCACCATTCCAATTCGATTCCTTCTTTCTTTAAAGTATTTCTCGCTTTTAATTCTCCTTTCTCATTCAAAATATCTTTATAGGTGACAGCTCCCCCTCGTTTTGTCAAATTTGGATGTGTGTACATTTCTAATGTTGACACCCATTTAGGAATTTCCATATAATTATTTATTTTTATTTTTTTCCAAATATCCAATAGTGCTCTCCTAATATAATGCCTCCGGAAGTACTGATGGACTAAATGTTTTTCTTTCCATAGAATAGC